TTCGATCTCTCTAGCTATTTGACCATGCATTGCTTTTGTGTTCCACCTTGACATTTGCTCTCATCTCTTGTCGTCTTTTATGCTCCCTAATAGCCTTTACTCTTTCCGTTTCAGGTTTCTGCATGTTGGTGTCGTTTTTCAGTTGTTTCTGCTTTTGTCTATATACTATGCCGATATATCTGTCTGATTCTTGTTTCAATTCCAGATAGCTCTCCAGTGCTTCTCTGGCAATGGCAATAGCATGGCAGGTTTCTATACTCAGCATTCCTCTCCCGCCATCTTTTCTAGGGATATAAAGCCACCTCTGTAGACTTAGCCCCCCAAATTGAAATTTGTGACTTTTTTTATTCTCAATCGTTTGATAGTGATTGATCACAGAACATATCACCTCTAGAAAAGTATCTGCAATGGTATGTACCGGTTATGAATTACGGCGCCCTCGTTGACTGAAAACCCAACTAATCGAGTATTCTTGACAAAAAGGCGAATTGATTTTTTTCATATATTTTTATTATTTTTGTATAATTTTTAATGTTCAACTGCATTTGGCTTGCTGACTCCTCTTAGCTCTTTTCGCCTCACTTTTTTAAAAACTATGACTGGCAGGAAGTTTCCGATGTCGAACATAGTGCAAAAAGAGTTAGTAAGTTAGCAAGAGTCACGCAGTTATAGGTAGATCGCAAAGTAAATACAAATAATAAATACAAATACGAACGAAACGAAACAAACGAATAAATACAAAAAAATACGAACAAAAATTAGGTTTTTTTTCAACCAAAACTTTTTGAATTTTCACTTTACCGCGCGTAGAAACCGTGGGGTACAACAACACAATTTAAAAATTCAAATTATGACTTTTAAAATGACAAAATAAATGACAAAACCAACCAACACAAATCACTGTCCACGCCACAGATACCTGTAAATTTCTCTTATCTCCCGACAGTGTCGCCATCGTTGAATGAAAACCTAACTAAAAACCTTTGTCGCGATTCTTCCATTTGAGATATTTTTCTATAGGTGATATGTTCTGTGGTGATTGATAGTCCTGAGAACCGGTGTGAAATTAGCAGCCAAAACTTGGCAGCCAATTTGACGAAAACGCCCGAACGGCCATTGGCGTAGCATTGTTTTTTAATTCAAAATAAATTCAATAAATCATACTTAGACATCGAGTCTAGCCATGAAACTTATAAAGCCCTATTTTAACACCTTTTACAACCTACCATCATCTCCAATCCCCAACTCAAACCCCGTCGAAATATGAAAAACTACCCTTAACGAATAAAAATGCAAAAATATTGAAATTTTCGTATTTTTTTTTCAACTCGGACTTCGAGTCTTGTCATGAAATTATTAGGGTACTCTCTCAGCACCATATCCAACCCCCATGCAAAATCCCATTGACTCAAACCCCGTCAAAATATGAAAAACTACCCCGAACAACTAAAAATGCATAAATATTAAGATTTTCGTATTTTTTCCCAACTCGAACTTCGAGTCTTGCCATGAAATTAATAGGGTACTCTTTCAGCACCATTTCCGACCCACATACAAAATCCCATTGACTCAAACCCAGTCGAAATGTGAAAAACTACCCCGAACAAGTAAAAATGCATAAATATTGAGATTTTCGTATTTTTTTCCAACTCGGGCTTCGAGTCTTGCCATGAAATTAATATCCTTCCATCCATCCATCTCCAACCCCAATGCAAAATCCCATTCACTCAAACTCCGTCGAAATATGAAAAACTACCCTTAACGAATAAAAATGCATAAATATTGAAATTTTCGTATTTTTTTCCAACTCGGAGTCTTGCCATGAAATTAATAGGGTACTCTTTCAGCACCATCTCCAACCCCCATGCAAAATCCCATTTACTCAAACCCCGTCGGAATATGAAAAACTACCCCCAACAAGTAAAAATGCATAAATACTGAGATTTTCGTATTTTTTTCTAACTTGGACTTCGACTTTTGCCATCAAATTAATAGGGTACTCTTTGAACTCTTTCAGCACCATCTCTAACCCCCATGCAAAATCCCATTTACTCAAACCTCGTCAAAATATGAAAAACTACCCCCAACAAGTAAAAATGCATAAATACTGAGATTTTCGTATTTTTTTCTAACTTGGACTTCGACTTTTGCCATGAAATTAATAGGGTACTCTTTCAGCACCATCTCTAACCCCCATGCAAAATCCCATTTACTCAAACCTCGTCAAAATATGAAAAACTACCCTCAACAAGTAAAAATGCATAAATACTGAGATTTTCGTATTTTTTTCTAACTTGGACTTCGAGTCTTGCCATGAAATTAACAGGGTACTCTTTCAGCACCATCTCCAACCCCCATGCAAAATCCCATTTACCCAAACCTCGTAGAAATATGAAAAACTACCCTCAATGGATAAAAATGCATAAATATTGAGATTTTCGTATTTTTTTCTAACTTGGACTTCGAGTCTTGCCATGAAATTAATAGGGTACTCTTTCAGCACCATCCCCAACCCCCATGCAAAATTCCATTTACTCAAACCCCGTGAAATATGTTGTAAAAGGTGTTAAAATAGTGGCTAGACTCGATGTCGAGGTATGTTTTATTGAATTTATTTTGAATTTAAAAACAATGCTACTGACCTAATCTTTATTTATAATTTTTGGAATAGAGTTATAATATTTAATTTGAAAGTTGGACTCGCCACTTTCTTTTCGTGCTTTTAGGTTGGCTTCAACTTCATTCAAGTACTTCTGTTGAAGGAAAGTTAGATGGCCCTTGATGTATATTTTTTTGGATCCATCTAGTTTATTTTTGTTTTTTAAAATTTTTAAAGCATCTTCCTTTGTTTCAAACATGACTTTTACAGGCCTAACCTTATTTGCATTATATCCTCCCAATCTGTACAATTAGACTATCCAAGATGCGGTCAAACCTAAATTAAAATGTCCGCCAACACAAATCCTTTGTTTATGTGTTATCAAATGGTGTTATGAGTTTTAGGTAGTGCTAATTGTGAATTACTTTCGTTGTTATACCTAAAACTGTTGTTTTTACGCTGTACCTAGCCTCCCGGCACCGGTATTTATACGAGTCTCGGCTATGGCGCGTTTTAAATGACGTCATCAACAACCACGGGTAACTGTCGTGGATCCCGGCTATTGCTATACAACATGTTAATAATTATTAAGTTCATTGGTATTGGGGCAGATTTATTATGAAGAGTGAAAAAAGTGAACAAAGTCGGGCGCGATAAGCTTTTATTAATGGAAAATAAAATTATGACTTTTTATTATATGTAGGTACAGGGTCATTTTGAAAGTTGGTTCAGCATTTGATCTTGTACTGCAACGCCGTTAATGTTCAGCAACATTACACAGGGTGCCTCAAAATTAGAGTTTAATATTTTAACTGTGGATTCTACATCTCAAATTAAGAGCAAAAATTCCTATAAACATGGGTCCAAGAGTACCCTATTTCAGAGATACAGGCTGTTAAAAAAGCTAGTCCTGAATAATGAATGACAATAAACCATACTATTCCCTTTTTAAACCATTACTACGAAAAGTGGATTAACGAAGTACTTAAGTACCACTCTAATACGAATATCACAACAAGAAACAATAATACACAAAAGCTATTCCGGAATTAATCACAGCTTCAAGCAGCAAGAGAAACACGACTTTGAATTTTGAATCCAATCGCTGGGATCCACGGTCGTTGAGGGAGTCATCAAAAACGCGTCATAACCGGGATTTGTATGAATACCGGTGCCGGGAGGCTAGACACAGCGTTGTTTTTATTAATGTTAGAAATAGTTTATTTAAACAGTGTCTGTAAATAGTAGTTTGTGTTCCTCCTGCCGGCCATATTTTACTTTTCAAAGTAACGTGTTTTGGATAAGCTAATTTGATATTTTCACAGATAAGTAAGAAATTATATAACGCGTGTACTTCATTTACGCAATGAGAGGCGTTTGATGCAAAAATCAGTGAGATGGAAATATCATTTCTGCATAAGTCTATCTTGTAGTTCGGTTCGTCAAATCTACGTATGCCTACTACTACTACACAGCACTCATTGGAAGTCGAGCATCGTGCGTCCACTACGAAAACGAGATTATCTATCGTCTGAAAACCATGCTCACAACCCACCAATCACGTCGACTGCATTCAACGCATGCGCACTAGACCAAACCAGGCTGAGCGATAGACTTATGCGAAGTTGATATATCTGTCTCAAACATTTTTGCATCAGGGTACAGCAAGAACACGCGTTATTTAATTTTTTACTTATATGTATTTTTATTGGGTATGGATTCATCTAGTGATTTAATTATTGATACGGCCCCCTCCTCCTCTTTTATATTCCGTTCCTTTTCCTTTAGGTATATATCTTTTATAGTAAAAGATACAATTAAGAAATTTCCAGGGTAAATGAAGGACTGAATGTATAATACAAGGATTTTATGAAACGCACTTTTTTCTTTTTTGCCCTATTTACTTGTTGCTATGCCGAGTTGAAAGAAGTTGATGACAGAGACAGATTATTTGCACTAGGCACATGATAGCACAACCTTTTCCCCATTTGGTCCACCCTGTATCTTCAGTGAAATCCCCATGTACTTCAAGTTATTCCGGACACCCTGTATATATAATATACAAATGTCTGGAGAAGATTCCAAAAGAGTGATGGGCCTTGTAGGCCGTGAGATTGACGTATGAGATTGGAAATTAGAAAAACCCTAAAGGGGTTGTTACGGTGTTACCCAAAAATGGAAGTTTTAGTACAAAAAAATTTAAGAAATTTAAACCGCATCTTGCTACGATTAACCGTTTTCGAGTTAGAGCGGTTTAAAGTGACACGCCTAAGCTGTGACGTCACACCAGCTTTGGAGGCACACTTAAAATACGTGTGAATTTCCCAAAATAAGTCAACGATCTCACTTAGAGCAAATTGCAACCACTTATAGGTCGGAACTATTTTGGATATAGGACTGCGGTTTTCACAAGAGATATTAGATTTTTTTCTTGATACAAGTAGCTTAAGTTGTTTTTTTGGGTCACAACCTTTTTAACTAATTGGTAGATTGGAGATGTTGTTAAGCTATTTTTTTTTTATAGGAATATGGATCCACCCATATGGTACGACACGGACGTAAAACTTTTCGAAATCCAGAGAGTTTAAACTATAAGTATTTAAACAAACTCCTATTTTTTTTAGTTCAAATTTTATTGCTTTAAGCTGCTTTAACAATAAGACTATTTTTTTTTTGTTTATAATATTTTATTTATTTATTTGTCTTTACTATTTTTCAAACAGTTCATATTTGTTACATGAGCTTATGTATGTATTGCCAATACCGTCAAACTGGGTGACTTGAGACAGCCGGGCGAGTTGAGACAAAACTTTTGAGGAAACTAATTATATACCTGGCAATAATATATCCGACGCATTTGGGCGCCAATCATATTTATTCGACTTAAGGGTTGTCAAGACGTGTTATAGTATAGTTTGAACCTCCTCGGAAACGATAAGTTAATTTTTGTGCAGTTTTTTATGCATGTATGTAATTTTTGAACTTAAAAATAGCTGAATAACTTTGCATACTGTCTCTATACTATCTAGGACTGCCTATTGAAACTTTACTCAGAAATAGATTGATATTTTGTGCATCTTTTGGAATATAGTGAGTTACTTTCCCTTTCTAAGAAAAAAAAAATATATGAAAAGGTAAAATGGCGGTTGTTGCTGGTGACTTGAGACTTGTCTCAATTCATTCCAAAAAAAAAAGAGTGTTATTATGTGCCTGTTCCAATTGTTTTTATGGTGTTTTCAGCATATTATGGGAAAATACAAAAAAAGAAACTTGGCTGCAGGACCTATGCTGATTATGATAGCGGAATGTTGAAACCAGCGATTGAAGAACGAGTACCTAAATCCTATCGATTATTATCAAAAAAATATGGCATTTCCAGGTGCACCATTCAACGAAAAGTGAATAGTCTCAATAAAAAAAATCCCGGTGGTCAAATAGTCTTTACAGTGGAAGAGGAGCAGAGACTTTGTGGAAAATTTAGAAGTTGCTTGCCGTTGGGGCTTTCTAATCACGGGCAACGACTTGAAACCTTTAGTAAAGTCGTAAAGACGGACGGGGTGATCAAAAATTCAAAAAAAATAACTTGCCTGGGAAAGATTGGGTCCAGCTTTTTTTAAAGAGGCATTGTCACTTTTCAAACACTCGTTGGTGTGACAATATCAAGCCTGGAGTCAATAGCCACCTTTTAAAAAACGTTTCTTTTGTCTCAAGTGATCCTTTTAGCTTGAAACATGAGCAAAAGCTTGAAAAATATGGTTGTCTCAAGTAACCCACCCTAGCGTCCGACATGAGACAGTCAAAAAAAAATAAAAAAACCTGGGTAACTTGTTATTCACATAAAATTCAACTTATAAAACCGATTCTACTGGTTAAGACTCAACTTTTGACGTGTTTAAGTCATCGCTAAGTTAAATAGTTTCGAAAATATCGCTTGCTGAAAGTCAAAATCGTCTCAAGTCACCCGATTTTACGGTACTTTATTTAAAAGATTATTTTTTTTTTACTTTATTAGCAAGACTTGTAAAAAAGGCTTGCATTATGTCTAATCTCATTACCATTGTCGTCATGTACTTAATGCAAAATATTGCATAACTCAAAGCGCATATTATGAATTTGTTATCAAATTTGTTACCTAATATCTTGAGATTTTACAAAACAAATTGATTCTATGTAAGATTACGCTTAACCCGTGCTTAACCACTCGACTGTTACCAAACCGAATTCATAATTTGAGTCTTTGAATAAATTATTCCATAAAAGTAAATGCTTATTAATTTTAAATAAATATAAGATTTATCTAAATATTAGGAAATAATTAATGTTACATAAAATATTTGGCAAAAATGGTTCGGAAGCAAAAATCCATGAACCTCTTTGTCAATTATGGAACTTCATTTTCTAGTGAAGATTCATAAAATGATCAAAAAATATAAATTATCCGAAGTTTAAGACTGTGTATACTATATGTCTATCTGTCATGAAGATGAAGAATCCGTAGCGTAGGTACATTAAAAAAGCCACCTTGCATTTTATATTTGTCTCAATAGACACTTAACTGTGCAATAATTCAGTTATATTCTGCTTGAAAAAAACCTTCAAAATTTATTCGCAGACCATTAATTGAACCCTATGCTGGAACAACGTTTCAAACGCCAAATATACTAAACAAGCGCGAAACTAGGGCGGTTGCAATTAAAACGTTATTGCACAAAAAGGACATACTGGGCCAATTGAACTGGCATCAACACTTCATAAAAAAAAAATCATATTTTCCCACTATTAAGTTGGCGAATTATCCAGGGTACAATACAACGTTATTCCATGAAAATACCGTTTTTACACATTGTCATTTACAACGTTGTTCCAGCATAGGGTTCAATTCACGGTCTGCGCCTACGTTTTAGAGTTTTTTCCATAAATGGAAGAAAATTTAACCTAGCAAGACACCCCACTGTGTAATATTGTTATACCACACTTTAGTTAATCATCAATGTAATGTGTAAAAAATAAAATACAAAATTATTTCATCAACGTCATTTTTAATTTTCTAATTCCTTTTTAATCAGGTCCCATCGTTTAAAAGAAATAACCAATTCATAATGCTGAGTATGCGGAAACAAATCCACTGCTACTGCTTTAACTGGCACATAAAAATCACCATGCATGTATTTCGATTCGGGGCGTCCCAAATCGACAAAATTCTTTGTGGCTAACTTGGGGTTGCACGAAATGTAAATCAAACGGTTGATTTTTTTGATTTTACGCAGCTGGTGTATGGCTTTTTGATCTGGAATATTTATTGTTGGCAAAAAAATTATTATTTTTAAATTTACTTACGTAATCCAGCTCTTGGAGGGTCGACTACAGCAAACACGTCCTCGTGTTTGGAATTGTAGCAAACTGAACCCAAAATATCTTCAGCTTTCCCAGTGAAAAATTCGCTATTGGTAATGTTGTTGGCGATTGCGTTTTCTTTTGCGTCTACTATTGCTTGAGGGACTATTTCTAGACCTAAGATTTGTCCACAGTACTACAAAGGAAAAAATCAGAATTGATTTTTAAAGTGCCTTTTTGTATGTCCTCATTGTGTTAATGCTTTTTGACTCCGGGTCTTCCCAAATGATAAGTAAAATTTAAATCACTAACCTTAGCAAAACATAAACCAATAGTTCCTGTACCACAGCAAACATCCAACATACTGGAATGTTGTGTAGGCTCTGCCAAATCTATTGCAGACTGATACAAAACTTCAGCAGCTTTAGTGTTTATTTGAAAAAAAGCTTCAGGAGACACACGAAATTTCAACCCCATTATTGTCTCGTAAATATGAGTGTCTCCCCACAAATGAGTAGCCGGAGTAGGTTCTTCGCCAGGGCTTTTTTTCACTATTTCTTCATAGAACAACGAAGTGACTCGAGCTTCCTTGCCAGGGCCTTCTGAGAAATATTTTATTAAATTATTTTTCAATTCATCAATTCGTGCAGTGTCCAAATTTTGAGGATGAATCCCTATAATAACCATGAGTTGATCAGGAGCAACCCTAGCAGTAATTTGTTTGAAATGTCCAGTTTGAAATTCAGCATTGAACACTTCTAGATTTGATGAGCGAATAAAATCCTGAGATACCCTTACAGCCAATTTCATTGATTCTGGAATGTGTCTCAAATGATCTACAGGAGCTACACCTGTCGTACCATTTACATAAGCGCCTATCCTAAAGCCGACTGTTGGCAAGTTGGTTTCTGGATTCACACCCACTGAAAATTCGCATTTGTTGCGGTATCTAAAATAATATTTTATTTGCTTTTTTGTAATCTAAAATAAATACCGATTGATATTACCCATCAATTTGATCACAATGTTTAATTTGCATCAACTCACAAGGTAGACCATCATACTTTTTCTTTTGAGCTTCAATGTATGATTTGATTTCTAGATTTTGATGCGATAGGTCGTTGGCTAGTTTAGTTAGAATCGATTTTACTTGTTCCTGTTTAGATTCCAGCTATGTGAAATTAATCAAATAATTATTTACCACTTTCAATGAATAGAATATTAGGTCATTTTGATTCCAATAAGTGTTACATGTCATTGGACAGGTGATGCAGATTGAAAAGGATTTAGGCTACATGAAATTGTTAGCTTCACTGCAATAGGCTTGGTAATAGGTCACTATCGCGTTTCCGGAATATGGGAAATTATGATACATGAACGCATCCGAGATTAAGCAATATTTTGCAGGAAATTAATCAAATTATTAAATAGATTAATGGTTGATAAATAAAAATAGTGAACTATGGAAAATGACGCTTTTTTGCCACGCCGTTCTTTCGCGCATGCTAACGAAAAAAAAAATATATCTAGGTAAGGCACTTTTGACCTTTAAATTTAAAAATCAAGTCAAATTATCAATCAAGGCACCAAATTATTTAAATTCAATATTATTACCTGTTTTTGATAATCTACATCTGCCAAAGGTGTTGTAGACAACTTAATCCTTTCTTCAACTGACAAATCATCAGTTTTTGCTTTCTTTCTGTCACTGCATTCTTCTAAAGCTCCTTTTCTCTTTGCAACTAGCGGATCTGCACTAGGCTTAGCAAACTAAATGAAGAAAACAACTCAAAATATATTAGCAAAATGTTTTCATTTTCTTACAGCGGCTTTAAGTTCGTTGCCTTTCCACTTAAATTTGGATAAAACTTCAATGGCATTGTCTCTGTCTTCCTCATTACGAAAGCAAACGAAAGCATAAGGAGAGTTTCGTCTTGGTGTTTTAATTTTGTTGGAGTTTAGGTTTAGCTTTTGGTTCAGAAGCTTCTTAAATTCCTGAAATGTTTCACTTATTTACATGATTATTCAACTGTATTCGGTAATTTCCATATTTTGTTGAAAGTAGGACTCGGAATTGTATTCGAATAATTCGAATATTCGACTATTCTAAATTCGATTTTTTTGTTAGGAAATTCGACTATTCGATTCGAATATTCGACTATTCAAATATTCGACTATTCGAATATTCGACTAATCGAGTATTCGACTATTGGAATATTCGACTATTTGAATATTCGACTATTTGAATATTAGACTATTTGAATATTCGACTATTGGAATATTCAACTATTCAACTATTAGAATATTCAACTATTCGAATATTCGACTATTCGAATATTGGACTATTTGCCTCTAGTACCTGCCAGCCCACTTAAAAAAAAACCTATATATTACAAATTTGAATAAAATAATGTTTAGATTTTCAATAGTTACCTAACCGACTATTCCGGTTACTGGTATTTAATTAAAAATAGACCACTACTAACAGTAACGACAAAGTACAAACTTAGTTATATAAATGATTATTGGAATATTTGACTATTGGAATATAAGACTATTCAAATATTCGACTTTTTGACTACATATTCGACTATTTGACTATTCGAATATTCGACTATTCGAATATTCGACTGTTCAAATAGTCGAATATTCAACTATTCGTATAGGTATTCGAATATTCGACTATTCGAATTACTCCGCTATTCGAATAAAATACCAAACGACTATTCGAATATGTACTTGAATTTTAAAAATTCCGAACCCTAGTTGAAAGAGCCTTCCACCTGTACTGGGTGTCCTTAAAAAACTGACATATTTTGCAGGTCACTCAAAAGCGAGATGCGGTTTGTTCTGGGAGAATAAGGATTTTTTAAAGTTTTGTTTCACAGTATTGCCAAATCCTGAAATTTGGTTTTACAAACAAACATGCGATTTTACGATGGTACCCTCTTCAACAAACAAAGTGCAATTTTTACAATGCAATTTCGAGATTATAAAAGTTATACAGTGCCCGCGGAAAAGTCTGCACCATATGGGCATTAGGTTCGGCATGACTGAAAAGCAAAAAAACACCTAAAATGTTTGACTCGAGACTTGCCCACACCTGTCAAATGCCATTTGAAAATTTCAAACAAGGAAAAGTGGCATTTTTATAAAAAATATGAAAAAATTTTATAAGAAAATATTGTTCCAACATTTTGAGTCTAATTTGATATTTTTGCTTTGAAAAAAAATAGTTATTATAGGGAAAAAAGTACTAGATTTTAGCGCGAGGTGTGGTTTGTCTCCCGACGCGAAGCGGAGGGAGACAACACAGCGAGCGCTAAAATCTTACTTTTTTCCCCATCTATAATACACTATTTTTTTCTGTGACGAGAAAATCTTACCATTTTCCATCTATACATTATTTCGTTTGAGAAAAAAATTTGACTGGTACCTGTTACTTTTTTCCTGTGGGAAAAAAAATCACTTTTTGGGAGAAAAAGTGACATTTTTGCCCCTGTCAACAGGTACAAAAAGTCTACTTTTTTCCTGTCAGAGAAAATAGTATATTAAAGTATAAGTGGATATTGAGGTCTTTAAAACACGCGCGATTTTTCGAGCACGACGGCGCAGCCGAGTGCTCGAAATAGAGCAAGTGTTTTAAAGACCAGTTATCCACGAATACTTTACACTATTATTTTTTATTGGTATACGTTCAAATCATAAATTACTAATAATAATAGGGTACTTGCATGATAGATAGATAGATAGATAGATAATGTGCTTTATTGTCATAAAAACGATACAAATTGTTTTGTGGACAAAGCTAGTACATACATATAAAAATCACTTATAAAAGAATATCCTCGTAAGATCATTGTAATAGCAGTCTAAAAACTAGATTTCCATAACAATCAAAACAAAAAAAATCACAAGCATTAAAACTAAAATTAGTAATCACAAAATACAAAACCCAATTATAAAATTGGAGACATACACTTCATTGAATATGAACATACAAAATAAGAATATAACATTCAAAATGCTGAAGTCAAACAATGAATAAACTAAAAATAAAAATAAAAGTAAAAATAAAAATAAAAAGACAAAGTAATAGGTGTATACAACATAATAAGACAATACAAACTGGTTTTGTCAAAGTGGTCCAGAAAAAAAAATTCAATCTGCCAAGCAACAATTATAAGCTCCTTAAGAAACCGGTACCTGATCCAGATCAAGAAACTCACCGTCAAGAAACTCGCCAATACTATAAAAAGCCTTTCCAAGTAAGAACGTTTTTAAATTTTCACGAAACAATTTAAGATTTGGTAAACCCCTAATTTGAGGCCGGATGTGGTTAAAAATTTTAATTCCACTGTAGATAAAGGAGCTTCTGACAAGACTGGAGTGAGGGATTGGTAAACGCAAATTACCATTATGGCGAGTATTGTAGGTGTGTTCTTGAATAGGAAATGTATTTTTGTTTTTATAAATTAAGCAGGCTGTTTCCAAGATAAACAAGGCAGGTAGAGTAAGGATATTTTGTTTAATAAAAATTGGTTTGCAGTGTGTACGTGGGTGTGCATTTATGAGATTCCTTACCGCTCTTTTCTGTAAAACGAAAACAGAGTCAAACAAATATTGTGAACAAGCTCCCCAGAATGGTAAGGCATACCTAAGGTGTGACTCTACCAGAGCAAAATAGACATTTCTTGCCATCTCCGTGCCAAGCTCTTGGCAGGTCGCTCGAACAGAATAACAACCGGAGGCCAGTTTTGAATTTAATTTAATAATATGGGGGAAAAATTTTAGTTTTTCGTCAATAAGGAGTCCCAAAAACTTGGAGTGATTCACGGAAGCTATGTGGCCTGACCCCAAGCTTAAATTAGTAACTTCACAGTTGAAACTGATTAAATGTGTTTTTGACATATTCAAACACAGACGATATGCGTCACACCAGTTTTTAATTTTTTCAATGTCTGAAACAATATCCTGCTGTAGTTGTTGAGTATCTTTGTTGTGCCAGAATATGGTTGTGTCATCAGGAAACAGTGCAAAGAACCCAGCTATCTGTAACTGTGTCAAATCATTAATATATAGCAGAAAGAGCAAGGGGCCCAACACAGAGCCCTGAGGCACACCACATGATATTTTTTGTTTTCTAGAAGACACTCCATTTAAATTGACTGACTGCACTCTGTCTCCCAGATAGCTCTCCAACCACGTCAAAACCCTACCGCGAAACCCGTATTTGTAAAGCTTGCCCAACAGAACCTCATGACTCACGCAATCGAAGGCCTTCGACAAGTCACAAAAAACTGCCGCACAAGCCTCACGATCGTTCATGGCATGGAACACCTTGGATAGAAAGTCAAACATAGCGTCTGTCGTGTCATGGAAAATTAAATTGATTATTGTTTATTGCAAACTGTAGGAAATCGAAAAAAAATCGTTACTTTTTTTTTCATTTCGCCCAAATATGATTATTTCGGAAGTTATACAAATATTAAGTTTTGTATTTATAGATATACTGAGCATGTGCGACGTCATAAAGTATTATACCTGATGACGTCATAGGCATATTTCATAGCGTTGTATCTCCGTCAATTTTTGACTAAGAAGAAAAAGAAAAAACACGTGTTGACTTATTTTTCATGGACTATCGAAATCAGCAATAAAAAAAATTGATGCAAGGGGCCTATTGTAGAAGCTAAACTTGTGCTTGACACTTGTTACATTTTATTTGACGTTATCTACAATTACCTAACCTACTCCTGACAAATCAATAATTAAAAAGTTGACATTTAGACCTTTCTGGGGTTGTTGGTTGTTGATGTTGTCATTGGTAACTTTAAAACACGCGCGTTTTTGAATGTTGGATTTAAACACGCTGAGGAGTACTTTAAATAAGTGAAATAGGTTATCAATAAAAAAAAAATATATTTTTTTTTTTATTGATTTGTGATATTGATATTGAGTGAAATAGGTTATCAATTAAAAAAATATATATTTTTTTTTTATTGATAACCTATTTCACTTATTTAAAGTACTCCTCAGCGTGTTTAAATCCAACATTCAAAAACGCGCGTGTTTTAAAGTTACCAATGACAACATCAACAACCAACAACCCGAGAAAGGTCATGTCAACTTTTTAATTATTGATTTGTCAGGAGTAGGTACTTGTAGATAACGTCAAAAAAAAGGTAACAAGTGTCAAGCACAAATTTAGCATTCTACAATTATTATTAGCAATTTATGATTTGAACGTATACCAATAAAAAAAATTAGTGTAAAGTATTCGTGGATAACTGGTCTTTAAAACACTTGCTCTATTTCGAGCACTCGGCTGCGCCGTCGTGCTCGAAAAATCGCGCGTGTTTTAAAGACCTTAATATCCACTTATACTTTAATATACTATTTTAAAATTTTTTTTTGGATATCTACGGAAAAATAATATTTTTTTACTACTAACCTGAGAAATTGTCATTATTCAATCTATTTTTCTAGGAAAAAATTGAATTTCTCTCCCTAGGTGAATAATGAAAATAATGAAAAAATACCTAGGTTAATAATGAAAATGACGTCATGACGCAAGGATATTGTCATGTTTCTATTGGTTCAATTTCATTTCCATACGTCAATTTGAAAAAAAATACAGGTTTCTGTAGGTACATAGGAAGTTATCATAAGCTGTTGATAGAGGGCAGCACTTTCAAGAGGGCGTTCAAAAAAAAATAATTGGAGCACAGATTTTAATCAAATTTTTCATTTTCTACTAGCAGTAGTAAAAAAAATTCTATATATTCCTCGGTAGAGAAAGTCATTATATACCTCACTCATTATAAACCTCGGCGCGAGCGCCTCGGTTTATAAAAGCGCTCGGTATATAAGGACCAACTTCTCTACCTAGGTACATAATATACTATTTTAGGATTTCTTTCGCGACCACTCCTCTAAAATAATGAGTTTGTATCTGACTAATGGTTTTTTGAATCTCAATCATCTAATTGAGA